TGTAATGCAGCGTGCAGGGGTCAGTAGTGTGTAATGCAGCGTGCAGGGGTCAGTAGTGAAGTACAGACGAACCAAATATTACGAGGAGTTAAAGAAATACATTCCAGTCGACGTCTATGGAAAACATGCTATGACTCTGCCGCGAGAAGAGATGCTGCAAACTCTGGCCACGTATAAGTTCTACCTCGCCTTCGAGAATTCCATACATGAGGATTACATCACGGAGAAGTTCTGGAGAAGTTCACTAATAGCGGGAACTGTGCCCATCGTCATGGGTCCTCCACGTAAAAATTACGAGCGTTTCGTTCCACCCGACGCTTTCATTCACGTTGATGACTTTGCGTCTCCCCAGGAACTGGCTGAACATCTTCTGAGTCTGGATAAAGATGAGGAAAGATACCGACAGTATTTTAACTGGAGGGCCAGATATCAGCCGACAAGATCCCCTAGCAGTTTTCTAGCAGCGTACTGCAAAATATGCAAAGTATTGAAAAAGACCCCTTCTTATAGGACCATACCGAGTATTGCTGAATGGTTCAAGTGAACTTATTCCATCCATGTCTATCCAAAAATCAAGGATGTAAGGCCAGTAGATGGAGCCGAGGAGCACAGGGATTTTCTATACTCCTTGGCTTCATCTAGTGGCCATAGAGTGCTGCGAATCTCATATAAATCAGCCCCCAAAAGCTGTAGCTAAGAGATAACCACATACACCAAATGGTCAGTTTACCCGGAGCTGATGTTTCACTTAAGTTGTGTCTAAAGGAATTTCTTTTCAAAAGAGTATTGAGGGATTAAGTAGGTGAGGTAACGCTGGACATGTTCAGAAGTAGGTAGTCCATGTCAGCTCAAGGTCCTCAAATTGATTTTGTACAGATGCTCCACACGCCTACCCCCATGGCCTACAGCTACAACAACATGGAAACCTCTGGAGAAGCAGGAGCCTTAATCACTAGAAATGTGTTGGAGATTTTTCTATGAACGTTTTATACACCAATAAACGTAACATTGTCTTATAACTGGTTGAAGTTCTCAAGGCCTTTTATTTATAATGCTCGCCACCAACCATCTCAAGAGCTTTGTATTGTTATGGTAGCTTGATGAACCACTGCCCTTATGCCAATTGTAAGCAACCCTGGAGAGGTGGAGATCTACCCCCAACAACATGGAAAGATTACCAGGGTACAACAAAAAGAGATAACCTTACAGAAAATATGATAATACAAATGTTTCTGTAAAGATAAGTCAAGCAGAGTGAAGGGGTCAGTAGTATGTAATGCAGCGTGCAGGGGTCAGTAGTATGTAATGCAGCGTGCAGGGGTCAGTAGTATGTAATGCAGCGTGCAGGGGTCAGTAGTGTGTAATGCAGCGTGCAGGGGTCAGTACTGTGTAATGCAGCGTGCAGGGGTCAGTAGTATGTAATACAGAGTAAGGGGTCAGTAGTATGTAATGCAGCGTGCAGGGGTCAGTAGTGTGTAATGCAGCGTGCAGGGGTCAGTAGTGTGTAATGCAGCGTGCAGGGGTCAGTAGTATGTAATGCAGCGTGCAGGAGTCAGTAGTGTGTAATGCACCGTGCAGGGGTCAGTAGTATGTAATACAGAGTAAGGGGTCAGTAGTATGTAATGCAGCGTGCAGGGGTCAGTAGTATGTAAAGCAGCATGCAGGGGTCAGGAGTATGTAAAGCAGTGTGCAGGGGTCAGGAGTATGTAAAGCAGCATGCAGGGGTCAGTAGTATGTAAAGCAGCGTGCAGGGGTCAGTAGTATGTAATGCAGCGTGCAGGGGTCAGGAGTATGTAAAGCAGCGTGCAGGGGTCAGTAGTATGTAATGCAGGGGTCAGGAGTATGTAAAGCAGCATGCAGGGGTCAGTAGTATGTAACCTTACAGAAAATATGATAATACAAATGTTTCTGTAAAGATAAGTCAAGCAGAGTGAAGGGGTCAGTAGTATGTAATATACAGTAAAATGTTTTAATTGAAATAAAAACAAGGAGACAATTTTTGACTATTCCTTTAATTTAAAAAAATTAATAAATGGCTCCATCGATGTAATCCAGCGTTTACTATGTAAAGCGCTGTGTAAAATTGTTGGCGCTATGTTTCTTAATTTTTCTAAACTTTTTCATCACTTTTTATTTTTTTATTTAATGATTTCTTCTTATTTTTAAAATTTTTATTTATTTCATTATTTTTTTATCATTTTTTTTTTTTAGATTTGTATTTATCTTATTTACTTTTTTATTATTTTTTTATCTTATTGTTTATTTTTTATAAATATTTTCTTATTTTTTAACAATTTCTTTCTTATTATTTTTTTACTTTTTAATCACCTTTTTATTTAATTATTTCCTTTTTTTTTTTTATTTCCTTTTTTTTTATTTATCAATGTAATTTTTTTTCCCACCTAACTTTATTGCTATCACACTGAAGAAAACAATCACCTGTGTGATAGCAATTTATTGACCCTGTCACCTCCAATACAGGAGTTCTAGCTCAGCACTGTGCTGGAACTCCTGTGACATGTGTGAGAGGAACAGCACGGCACGGCACAGCTCTCCCCTCTCACTGTCTACACGGAGCGGCACGGTTACCTTTAACCCGGTGACGAGACGGACTCGGCGGCGGAGGACTGAACCAGAGGAGAGGTAGGTGCAGGGGGGAGGGGAGGAGGCTGCACACTGTTTACATGTGATCTCTGCGACATGGCCGAGATCACATGTAAACGAACAATCGGCTCCCCTCACTCTACATTCAGTCCTGCTTGTGCACAAGGACACGGCGGGACAACTTCCCCACAAGGACACGGCGGGACAACTTCCCCACAAGGACACTGCTGCCGCCCCTCTGCGCCCCGATGCCGGGCCTCGGTGGCCTTGTGGGGAATCCGGGCCTCGGTGGCCTTGTGGGGAATCCGGGCTGTGCCGTCACAGCTCGCTCCGCCCATTTGACATTCTCAGCTGTCAAATACAACACAGCGTTCGGGAACTCCCCAATGCCATTCGGGTCTGTGAGCTCCGAGGTGCCATCATACTTTTCATATGCAGAGAACGAATGAAACGAAACGAACGGAGCGGGGAGAGGGGAATACAGCCCTCCCCCTGTCACGGCAGAGAGCCGTGACAGGATCGAGAGGTGAGCGAACCTGGTATGTGTTTGCTCATCTCCCGATCTACTGAGCCGTCTCATTGTCACAGGTCGGCTAGAACTATGGGGTGAGTGGAAATCACTCATCTCATAGTTCTCCTTTTAAACTCCTTTTTTTTTTGCATTTATCTGCTGCTAGCAAGTGGTAGATATATGCAAGAACATTTAATAAAATAAAAAAGCTACCAAATAGGTAAAAACACACCTCTGTCTCCTCCGCTCACTCCCGTCCAAAGATCTGAAGCTCCTCGAGTAGCCGTGCAGGAGGATGAGAGCAGGCGCATGCGCAGTAGAGATTAGCGGGGAGAGAGGTGAATGCATGCAGCCGTGATCGTGCACGTCGGAAAGACAATGTGTGACGCAAGGAGTCTGTGCTGGATCAGAGACCGGCACCAGCGCTGAAGGGATTGCTGAATACAAGTGGAAGGAAGACGATTATCGGATCAAGAGGCATCATTTAAGGTAAGTTAGCAGCAATGGGGGGGTTGTGATTTTTAATGTTATTTTAAATGAATGGGCTGCCTTTAAATAAAATATCTGTAGAAGACATCACCCTTTCATTTACAAGCCATAGGCATTTTTATGCTAATCGTTGAGCATGTTGCAGCTTTCTATGACTTCTGGTGAACAAGTGGTTATACAAACCAAGGCTGGTTGACAGTGGAGTGGGTGCATTTTGATTTTGTTACTGTTTCCCTATGTAACTATGAACGTTCGCAAAGACTACCGCTAACGAATTTCCTCCGGTTCCGAAACGAATTGACTGGACAGGAGGCAAAACCCGGCACCGGATCAATGTACAAGGAACAGTGACGTGCATGGCTGGTGGTGTGTCTGCATCCCCAATAGTCAGTTTGGTCACGCCCACCCAGGTACTATTACTAGCTAGAGCAGTGGTGACCACCGCAGGACATCCGGTACAATGGCCGGGTGTATTCACCACAATGCCAGGCTTGGACATCAGACCAAAACAAAGCTTGCAGCTGGATAGAAGGTCTAGAGCCCAGGCTGGACCCAGCGTAACCCAAGACCACATAGATTAATGGATTTGCAAACGGGGCCAATGGACTCAACCGGCCGAGTTTTCCATCCTGGTACCTAATCTGTGTCCAGGGCTGGATTTCCCACAAGGTCAACCAAGGCCCGGCCTCGGGGCAGCAGGGAGTAGAGGGGCAGCAGGGAGTAGAGGGGCAGCAGGGAGTAGAGGGGCAGCAGGGGTGTGGAATTCCTATCTCCCGACGCCCAGGACATGCAGTTCCAGGCACCGGGCGGGTAGTTATGGGCGGGTAGTGGGGCGCATTGAGGAACCTGGCCTTGGGGCAGAAGAGACAGTAAATCCGGCCCTGTCTGTGTCCATATCAGAAAGGGGTTGGAGGACTGAATGAATGGATTAGCTAGCCACCAACATCCCACCCATCTTGGAAGAGATCCAGAATGTAACTCATTGTCCTAGTAGATTCTACTAGGACAATGAGTTACATT